TGTGAGAAGAAGCTGATCTTGATTAATTGGAGTTGTTGGTAATTTGGATATTATTTACAACTGCAACTACTATTGTAAGATATTCAGAGCTCTTCAACAAATTATAACCACAAAAGATGATTAGAAAAAAAAAAGAAGAAAAAGTTAAGTTTGAACCCAAAGTACAAATGCATGCTGAACCAAACAGCACACGGCACCTCTGGGAATGTTTTTTATGTGAGTCTATTTAGAAGTGAAGTTGGCTGTGGTCTTGTTCCTGGCTACCTCGGGAGAACATTCAGATTCAGGCCACTGCCCCTCCCCTCTTCTTGCCGAGGCAAGGCTTAATGTACTGCTCAAAAAAAAGAAAATCCTAGACTTCCGCTACTAGTCAATAATGTATGGGACCCCCCCCGTCCACCCCTCCTATGCTTCTCTGACAGCGGTTGTTAGCATTGCTCAGCTGTATATGACAGCCTTCACTAACTTTCACAGCTTTAGTGATGCATTCATAATGGATGGGCATTTGTTAAGGTCAGCAGCTTCAGCCATCATGGAAACCTAGCCACACAGCAAGTATGGTGCAAGAACAATAAGCCAGTCAAGTTGACAGCTAAATGAGGGGGATCATTTATGAACTTTTGAATGTGTAAACAAGCTGAATCTTTTGTCAGGCAAATCATAATCACAGGATGTCAGATAATGAAAGGGGGTAGATGAGTGCAAATGTCAGAGAAATGGACTGGGCGGGTGGAAAGGGGGTGGGATGAGAAATGATGAAATAGGAACAGGAATTGTGTTTAATTGAAGGGGAAGACATCACCTCAATTTACACTAGGAAAAAGGGAAGTAAGACTTTTTCAGACTCAAAAAAGTTGGGTCCAAATATAATGACTTGAATATCATTAACTTTCTGCCGTTCCTCAGACATTTCCTTCCATTATGTCAAATGAATTCCCATGCTGCTAACTGGGCATCATTGTACGTTCGAATATGAATCACCTCAACCAACCTGACACCTCCAAAGCTACCTGTGAACTTGTTAACACAATGCATTGTTTGGTTTGGTTTGATTTAAGCTAAAAACAAATTGGCAAATAAAATGAGCCTGAGGGAGTAAAGAGAAAATGGAGCCTGACCCGGACCAGAACAGTTGGGTCTGGTCTAATCAGGTTTGTGTTGAGAATCAAAGCTCTGTAGTGAAGACTGAGGCCAGCAGAGACACATCAGGGATCTGTAATCAGGTAGAGATGCCAGACTCTTCTTCTAGCGCTAACAAATCTAATCCAGTTACCACAGCAAGTCTCGTTAGCTCTGTGTGTTCAGCTCTTACCCTGTCAGCTACAGTGAAGGCTTGTGAATGTGTACGAACGTGTGTGTGTGTGTGTGTTTTTGGGAAGAAAACAGGGCCTGCCTCTCTGACTGTGTCAGTTTAATTATTGCTGTCATCACGTACCGAGCCGGAGCCTCAACAGAATGACTTGAGAAAGAAAAGTCATTTCCTCTCTCTTTTTAAACTGCATCAGGCACCTTGGCAGGACCACCTATTGACAAAAAGATGTGGCAGGCTCATTTGAATATATGTGAGAGACACACAAACACACATACATACGCACTCGCGTATGCCCACAGCAACACAACATGCACACAAAGACAAACACACCACCTGGAATGTTCATCCTGGTGATGTGGCAGAATTGAAATTCAGAGGAGTGAGTAGTACCTACTTATCTCTAATCTGTTTTTCCAATTGAAAAACTCCCTGCTACGATGGAAGTTATTTTTACCCAAGAGCTCTAACTCCCATCTTCCTGCATGGTAAGCTACACTACATGAATAATATGCCAAAATAGATTATCCGCAGGTGGGAATCAAGTGTTTAAATGTTCAGTGAGTGCAGTAGAGATGAAATTATTGTTGGCCGTGTATCTATGAATGTATTCCATCGGTGGTGTAATGCTGTGTAATACTTAAAGCCAACTGTTTTTTGTTATATTATTGTGTTTGTTTATAATAGACTTAATTTTGGGTTTTTTTCACAAGAAAAAATACTGTGACAAATTTTTATTTATTTATTTTTTTTACCCTGCTTATAAACGATCAGATTTCATCACGCTCACACTAACATGCTTGCATACTCTCACGTTCAATGATTGACATTTGCAAGACAGAATAGGACAGAGGGCTAATATCTGAACACGTGTCAGCTGAGGAAAACATTAACACTCACGCGTGCACACAAACACACCGTCAGCCACTCGCAAATGCTGAAAAGTGTGTTTCTATCGACACCGGCTTCACAGGCAGCGTCTGACATTTCGCTGGGAGTGTGAGGCTAAGCGTTCAGACCTTTAGAGAATGTTATTCTCTCGTTCCTCTCTCATCCTCCCTTTATCCCACCGTCCTTATCTTTGTTTGTTCCTGGAGCATGCTTTGTTGTGGATTTCCAGTAGATGCACCTGCCGGAGGTTTTGTGATGCCTCTCAGTGCCCGGATGCACACACACACACACACACACACACACATTGGCACACATGCTCTCACACAGGCATAAGAGTTTCTTGTTTGATTCTAAAAAAGATCTATACAGGCCAAAGAGGACACAGAGGTGTTGACTGTTTTGCTTTTCTCTCTCAGCCTGTCAAAGACCAGGAAGGAAGCAGAACAAATATATGAATCAACAGCCGAATGGAACCAAGCACAGAGTTATATGCAATGATATGCAATGGCCAGGTGTGTTGCTATGGTGAGGAAAATGATTGGCCAGGCTCTAGATTACAGTGTTTGCTTCCCAAAACAGCCTGCCTGCACACACAGCAGCAGCACAACACACACACACACACACACACACACACACACACAGACGGCTCAGCTGAAATAAGCTGGCTGATTGCAGTAGTTTTACGAGTAAAGCCATTTGAATGGAAATGCGAAATGGAAGTGCATTACCAAAACTCATAGACACCACGACCAGCTGTGAATGAGATAAATGACTTGCTATGAGAACATACCATGTGCATCACAGCTGGAAGTAGAAAGACGCATGTGTGTGAGTGAGTGAGTGAGAGAGAGAGAGAGAGAGAGAGAGAGAGAGAGAGAGAGATCACTGACAGTCAAGCTCAGGGCCAAAAAAGCATCCTTCAGGTCCTTCACCTTTAGCCTGTTTGAAATGCTGCTGTACGCCAACCATTACTACCTTAGCCTTTTTTTTCTTAAATTTTTTTTAATGATCACAAATTCACAATGTCCTCAGCAACAGACCACAGTAGTTACTGGCACAGTTCCCATCATCACCAACGGCAGAGACTCTCAAAGCTGCGTCCTCAGTCCCTTCCTCCATAACCTCTACACAAATAACCGTATCAGCCTTTCAGCCATCACCACATACCTCACATACTGTGATGACGCTGTCATACTTGAACTACTCACTGACTTAAGCAAAGACTCCACACTTGGAGAACTCTCTGCCAAACTTAAACACATACTGCCTCCAAAATCATCTGCCTCCCCCACACCCAGTCTCTCAGACATGAAGGAAAAGAGGGCCATCACGCGCCTTGCGCTCATGATAGCAAATAACACTGATCAGAACCTCAGTCCCCTCTTCACGTTGCTGCTTTCTGGTCGTAGATACAGAGCTTTAAAACGGAGAAGAGCTTGTTTTTGGCACGGGTCTTGTCCCTTCTGCACAAACAGCCCTGAACAAACTGCCTCGTTGACACTGTTTATAAGGATTTAGGCACATCTCTGCGAGCACGCATTCACATGTATATATGTATGTGTTTGGGTACATGCAGCATGAATGCGTACATATGCATACATGTGACCGAGTATTGTGTACTGCATCTCTGTGTGTTTCTGTGTGGAATACAAGTACGAGCTGTGAAAACAAATATCCCTCTGGGGCAACAAGACTATGTCTCACATACATACACAGACTCCCACATGTGCACACATCTTCACTAATGCTGAAATCAATTAGAGAAGCAACAAAAATGAATCAACAACAAGTGATTCATCAAGCAAAAGTGCCAACATTCATCGGCTGTGTCTAAGTAGTGAGGGTGTCCTGCTTTTCTCTGTTTTATACCATAAGAAACTCGACATCTTTTGATTTTAAGTTGGACAAACATGAGGCATTTGAAGAATTCAAACCGGCTCCAATGCAGACCAATAGGTGATGTCACACTTCGCCACGTCGCCACGTCCATCTTTATGAAGGGTCTTTGGAATGATGTGCTTCTCAAGCTAACCATCCATACACGGTAACAAGAGTGTGAATTTTGGATTCTGATTCTTATCATGCTGCGGTATTTCTCTCCCCCGGTTGCCACTGCACAGAGAAAGCCAGCCATAAAGCAGGGAGAGGTTTAATTTAAAAGGGACTGTGCAACTTAAATTTCTCCATGATTGTCTTTCATTGGAGAATGATGGCAGTGACATCATGTTGCCTGCTTTTGACAAAAAGCTATTTTCAAAAGATGATTGTTCCCATGAGAGAGAAAGAGAGAGAGCATAACGTTGACTCACACAGGCACACAGATACCCGCACCACCCTACAGGCACACACAGCAGACGGTAGCAGCAAGAGGGTGATGATAGAGTGTGTGTGTGTGTGTGTGTGTGTGTGTGTGTGTGTGTGTGTGTGTGTGTGTGTGTGTGTTTGTGTATGCATGTTGCTGAGTGCATGAGAGAGAGTGCATGAGTAAAACAGCATGAACTGATGATGGAGTTTGTTGTGGTAGTGTCCAAAGAACCCGAGGCAGTCATTACCTTTACTGCTGAACCATTTAGGAAAATAGCCTCTTTTCACAAGATGGCCAAATGTCTGTCTGCTATCTGTGTCTGTGTGTATGTGTGTGTCCTTAGGGGTTGTGGTGTCGGTCTAGTGCTAAGGGGTACTTATAAAGCCAGTTGTAAAGCTACTTTCTGTATGGATGTTTCTCTGCCTATTACTTTTTGACCCATTAATCAATTCACTTTTGTGCTAAAGCTATTACATCTCTCCTCTCCTCCTGTAGAGACTGGTGGAAGCGGCAGAGGAAGCCCACCTGCAGCACGAGGAGGATCCAAACCTACAGGTATGTGTACGTGTGTCCCCTGCATCTGCTGTATATTCTGACCACACAGCCACCATCACAATCAACATGCTCGTTCCCTGTTCTTGTAAGCTGGGTGTGCTCAGTAAGCCAGTGTGCCTCCAAGATTGCTCCTCAGTGAAAATAAAGACCCAGTGAATGACAAGGGCCTCTTTAAACACAACATAGGAGAGACGGGGAGAAACATATTAGGAAAACTGTTGTGTAGTCTGTTGCACTTGACTAGGCTTAACAGTCTTTTAAAAGTGTGTTACTGCACATCTCTCTATAATCATTCTGTCAGCGTGTGTCTCGGTCTATCACTGTCACGCTGTCAATTATTCACTGTCTCACAGGAGCAGACGTGCCTACAAACACGCCTATCATGAGGACATCATGAGGAGTTTCTTTTATGATATAAACTGCACAAATTGCAAAAGCAATGAGTGGGAAACGTTAGTCACTCCAAGAGGGAGACCTCAATGTTACCTGATAATTAACCTGATAATTAACCATTAGCATCTAGCAATCTGGTCAAGGAGTGAAGGTTTTCAGGATCCAAATGCAGACTCTGAGGCTGGACTAGTGTAGATGGAAGATTTATTTTAAATAAATAAGGAGAAAAAAACCCAAAAGCTACTTCATAAGAAAAACAAAATCCAAACTGGGGTGGCAATGAATGCAAAATGTAAAAAAGCACAAGGAAATATCAACTGAACAGACAGTTGGGCCCAAATGACAACACATCAGGGCGGGACAGACAATCACAAAGGTGGGAAAACTAGGTAAAGATAGGAAGTAACACATCCAACAGACAAGTTATTTCAAAATAAAACAGGAATTAATAAACAAGAGTCCAAACAGTCATCTTAGCGGCAGATTATGAAAGAGGATGGATCCAGGAAAGAGTTGACAGGGGGCTGAGGAGCCGGAGTTGGCCGAACTGCCAACTGGGGATCAGCCAACAGGAGAACAGCCTCAGGAACTGATGAGACATCAACCAGGATGACCGACTCTGGAGCAGGCGAGTCGTCAGCCAGAACCCTTGATGCTGGAACCGGTGAGGTGTTGACAAGGGTGGTCGGTGGAAGTGTCACCTAGGGCGGTCGACTCAGGAACAGATGGGACGTCGACTTGGCCGCCAATGCTGGAACAGGTGATGTGCCAGGAAGGGCTGCCCAATCTGAAACAGACGAGACAATGACCAGGATCCCTGATCCCAGACCCAAGAATAAAGTCAGGAACAGACAAGACATCGGCTGAGACACGTAACTCTGGAATAGGCAAGGCTTCAGCCAGGACAATTGACTCAGGAACCGACTCTGGAACAGACCTAATGTCGAACCTGGGGCTGAGGCTCAGGCTGGCTTCTGGGAACCTGGGTCTTTGTGGAGCTAGGCATCTTGAAGGATCAATGTCTCCATGGCCATACGCTTATATCTAGGTAGCTCTTAAGAAAGGAGCTAGAGAACACAGGGGAACGGCCCCTGCTCTGCCCGTGAGTCGTCCACTCGAGGGGCAGAGCAAGAGGCCTTTGGGGCTGGTCATAGGAATGGGGCTGGAGACAGAGCACGGGCAGACAGACTGGGCAGCTCGGGAGGATGGCCCAGGCGCCAGACAGAGGGAAGTCCCTTCCAAAGGGTGTCGGTGAAGGCAGGACCACTGCAGAGGTCGAGTGGGCAATTGATGGCAAAGACTCAATTTCTGTGGAGTTTGAGTAGGCATCCAATGGGGAAGACTGGATCTCTCCAAGCAGGAGGCCAACAGACTGAGACTGAATCCTTCTGAAGGGCGAGCAGGGAGACAACCAGACAGGCGGAACAACTCCGGGGAACGACCTGGAGATTGGTGATGAGGCTGGAGGTCTGGACAGATCATGACACAGGACACTGGATTTAAATGGTGCAAATGTGAGGATAGAAACCACATAGAAATTTACAAGTTGCTTTTTTTCCAAATACTGAATATGTCTATTTATAAGTTACCATGACATTGTGAAAAGAGTTTCATACCCCCCCCCGCTGCACACACATCATTGATTGTTAATATGCAAAAAGAAATTCAATCAGTAGTAAATGTTAGGTCTTGGTGTACACTGGTGTTTACCCGGACCTTTCTTTTATTTTGGTAGCAAAAGGAAGAAGCTGAAGAGGTTCAATAGTGTTAACATTGACAGGAGTGAGTTTTTCATACAACAGTGCTGTTAAGTCATGTTCTGTTTTGTTCATAGTAGTTTGAACATACTCCACCCCATCAGAAGAGTTTAATATATGGGGGGAACCCCTGGGGTTTTGTAGTCCCAATCCTCAATCTTGGTAGAATAAATCTACCTTTCATCTAAGGCATAATAGTTGTGCCTACAGATGTATAATAATAATGATAATGAGTTGAGATTGAATTGTATGTGGGAAGCCTCTTATCTATTTTGTCAGAGGTGAAGCAATTAATCCTCATGTTTTCGTGCCAGAATTTACTCTGTGACAAACAAATTTTGAGTCAGAAACATAAATCATGAATTATTTATAGTATTATATCACTGTCATAGTCCTACTCAAGAACTCAACACATTTTAAACTATTCCCTGGGAGTTCCACCCTCAGCTCTGCAGACTTGGGCAAATGCATTCAGCTAATCATATCTGCATACACACCCCCAAACTCAGCCTCTGCTCTCATGGTTCTGCCTCAAATCCATTTGAGCAGCTTTAATTTTTAGAGTGCGGCTTTGTATTGTGTATGTGTGTGTGTGTGAGAGAGAGAGAGAGAGAGCCAGGGAGAGAGATAGAAAGAGAGACGGAATAGAGGAATATCTGTGCGGTTGTGTGCACTTGTGATGTTTTCGCCCGAGTTTGCCGCGCATCAAGCACATCTCAGACCAGAGTTTATTAAAGTAGGAGGAGCAACAACAGAAACTTGAGTTTTAAAGAGGAAATATGATGCTAAGCTGACTTGGGAGAATTTGCTGCTAAACTACTTTTAAACTCTGTGGTGTGTGTTATGTGTGCCTGTGCCTGTGCCTGTGGTGGTGAGTATGTGTTTACTCTGTCAGCTCTTTAAGGCATTACAGTGAATGCCCTGTGGTTTTCTGCCGTCATGGGTCATTAAGGAGGATCAATTACTAAATTTAACCACCTACTGCTGTCCAGCTCCGAATCCGTCTCTCTCATAGTGCCACTGTTCTTTCTTCTTCTTTTGGTCACCTTTAGTCACCTGCTTGATTCTCCACATGCTATTCAATTTCCCCCTCTGTGCTTTAAAGGAAAATTCGGCTCACTCTTTAACAATGCTTCAAAGAGGAGCAAGACCTGGCATTTATGGGCCTATTCGATTTGGATACTGTATGATATTAAATATTTAATATACAGTAGATAACTAGAACTGTTGATTGACAGAAAATTAATTAACTGTTCAAGACAGTTTTTCAATTTTTTCATTCTCTGTTTCCAGCTTTGCTAATGTCAGGAGACACCGCTTTTTGTCAGTTTCATATTATTATAATTTGTATAATAATAGTAATTGTATATCTTTGTTTTCATAAATTTCTAACATTTTCTTAGACCAAGCAGTGAATCAATTAATTGAGAAAATAATTGGTGGATTACTTTATAATGAAAATAACCATCAGTTGCTGCTTATAGAGATATCTGAAGTGCAGCTACAGTGGTGTTTGATGTCAGAAAAGAATAAGCCACTGTACTTAACATAGAGTTTAAGCTCCTAAGAATCAGTAGGTGCTTCTGTCAAGACTCACAGCTTTGCACTGAAAGATATGAGATCCAAATTTAGACCGTAATGCGCCGCAGTCTCACAATGTTATGTTTTGAAAAAGGTGGGTTCTTTTTTTTTCAGCTGTAAAAAGTCAGTTTCTTTCTCTCGTCTGACAACCATGGGTGCTCCACCTGCAAAATAACCTACAGCTGATTGCAGCAAGTGCACTCTGGGTTTGAAGAGCATTCTGGAAAATGTACAGTCTGACAGCAAAAAGTGGTCTCAGACTTTTGGACGCAACTGTATATTATATCACCAGCTGAATCAACAGGTACACCAAGAAATTACTATATATATATATATATATATATATATATATATATATGTACAATGTACTCTGTATGTAACTGTATTTGTGTATGGTTTTGTTGATGCACCATGGGAATTTGCATATAAACAAAACTGCCTTCATAGATATGTGCTTGTATTGTGTTGAGTATTTATCTTTGAAGGCAGTTTTGTGTGTTTTTTATGCACATGTGTTTGTACATCTGCATGTATGTGTCACTTGTGGACGCTTGTCTGTGTGTTGGTGTTTTCATATGCTGCTTGAGGGGCAGCAACACCGTGTGGGCTCACAGCGGTGCTTTATGCCAGTAATTACTTGGCGGCGATGAGATGAGCCCAGCAAAGTGAGTGTCCCTTTGTTTTGGCTTTAATGACACAGCTACAGAGCTGATAGTGGCTGATCGAGAGAGTATATACTGTGGTGTAATGTATGGTTTCACAACATCTAGGACAGAGTTAGATACCATTATCAAGCTAAAATGCCCCAATTCAGGAATGTTATATATTGTATACATGCATTGTGGGTATAATATGTCAAAAATGTGGGAACGGGAAATAATGAAAAGTAGGAAGAGGAAGGGAAGGGGAGAGAAAGGAGTGAGGGATGAAGGAGGAGAAAAATGAACATGTTAACGTGCCAGATGCTTGTTGGCATGGTGTGTGACCACAGTAATAGCATCTACTTTAATCAGAGATTAACATAATGACAGATGCAGTTGGTGTATGATCCATTGTTACCTCATTACAGAGCCTAATTTTTAAACCAGGAAGGTGCCAACTCATAGTTGGTGGGTTGGGTATAGAGAGCAAAAAATAGGACATCAAACCACTCAGCCCATTGCATATAGGACGTACAGGTTTTCATTAGCCATACTCATTTCAGCACTCATTACAAATGTAGACTTTCCTAATTTTGGGTCCTTCTGCAATACTATGACAAAAATATTC